GTTTTTTGAAGTGCCGCCCATAGTTGGCAGATGGGTCGAGGACACTTTGGGGAGTACGAAACGCCCCGTGCGGCCGACGTTCGAGGCATAAAGCCTGAGAAATCGATCCTTGAAAGTTGCGGATGACGAGTTTTTGACGCTCAATAGCTCGTATACTAGACCCGTTGTCGGGGGCCAAATTACATTTCTTTGTAGTATACCATCTATTGAATTGTACGACGCGCAAGTTGGTGATCTATGTATCCACAATCTTGCAATACATGAGCCATTGCAAGTCCAAACCTCATCATCCGCAACCTTCAAGGATCGATTTCTCGAGCCCCGTGCCTCAAACGTCGGCCTCATGGGGCGTTTCGTACTCCCCAAAGTGTCCTCTATCGGTATGCCAATTATGGGCGACACTTCAAAAAACTTTCAATCGAGCCTCCGAGGCACCGCGAGATGGCCGGTGGCGCCATGGCTCGTTTTTCGCCACATCTTATTGGTCGAAAAGTGTTGTCTATTTGGCCAATCAAATGGATTTCTGGCTGGCGGCGCCTGTTCCTCCATAAGGCGACACGCAAAGTTGCGCTCCTCTACGATGTAAGCTTAGCCAGGCCCTTCATTGTCGTTTGGACGCTGGTTGACGAGTTGGTTCAACCAACTCGTTCCGAATGTGATCTCTCCACGTATGCCGCGCCAAGTGCCCAACGTTATGATGCTTGCGAGCTCTCGAGCTTGCATCGGTGCTGTCGTCAGTAGAAGTGCTGAAGCAGAACGCCATCACCGTCTTCGCAGATGATAACGCACGCGACGTGTACGATTTCAAGCAAAGACAACTCACAATCGACAGTACTACGTATTCAGGCAGTCGATGTTTCCTACTCAGTCGTGGGCAGCTCGCTCGACACGAGCTGCTTCTTCCAGATCGTTTCGGTTTTGCCTTCGAGGTGTGCGACAAAGCGCGCCGAGACAAAGAGAAAGTCGCTGAGGCGGTTGAGGTATTGCACAACGGCGGGGTCCGTGTCGTCGGCGCCAATCGAGACGACGCGGCGCTCGGCCCGGCGGCACGCTGCCCGCGCGACGTGCAAGTGGCACGACGTCAAGCCGCCACCGCTCGGCAAAAAAAAGTTACGCAGCGGCTCGAGATGTTCGTCCATTTTGTCGATCCAGTTTTCCAGCAGCGTGACGTTGATCGGGTCAAACTGGGCGCGGCGGATTTTGCTTTTGCCGGCCGAACTCAATGGCGTGGCCACGCTCGCGCCCACGTCAAAGAGGCGCGACTGGATATCTTCGAGGCGCGAAGCAAACTCAAGGCCCGGCGTGAGCGTCGTCTCGAGGTGCAGGCTCTGGAAGTGCGTCAAGGCGACACCGATCTGCGCGTTGAGCTCGTCCGTGTCGCCGAGCGCCATGAAGACAGCATCGTCCTTGGACCGGCGCTCGCCCGAGAAGAGCTGCGACGTACCCTTGTCGCCTGTTTTGGTGTATACCTTCATGGTGCTCAAGTGGCGCTGGAGGAAGACGCGGGGGGCGACGCGAGAGGCAAGCGAGACCGCGGGGCGACGGACTCGATGCGCAAGACTGAAAGCTCGGGCTGCCAGCATCGATGTGATTTTATTCGTGTTGGGCACCGCCGAGCTCTTGATTTGTATACAATGGGCCAAGGTATTTTTAAAATACGCGCCACGCGTCTAGCCCAAAGGCCATTGGCCACATTTCCACCAATCATCGTGCAGCCTCGTGCCAGTGAAGCCCGCCGAGGTCCCATCTTCATCGTCACCAGCGCATATTGCTCGCGCTGGCGTCGACCCAGACGCTGCCAGCGTCATAGAAAGGATGAACTTTTGAAATGAAATGGTTGCACTGTGCTTGAGGCGCGGCTCTCTGTCGTGGTCGGAGCCTCCAATGCGCATAACGTTATCTAACACTCAGCACTTAGTTCATGAGTTGCCTGCATACCTCACGTGCACTCCTTCAGACGCAGATCTGACACCTCTCGAAGAAACAGGGAGTTGCAAGTGAGCCATAGGGGGCGTATGCGTGTGTTTGTAGGGTGCGTCGATGAGCCACTCATCCAAGCCTCTTGCTCTGTCTGCCACGAGCAGTGAAGAGAGCTTTTTGGTCGGCCAATACAATCAACAGTGGAAGGAATGAGCCGTCGTTGCGCGGTCCTTCCATCGCACCACTGCTTATAGTGTCGTCCAAATTGCTGCGTGCGAACGTTGGCAAAGATCGGCGCGTGACGATTTCGGCGCCCACCGCTGTGCTGCGATTGGTCGAGAAAATTTCAGCCAATCAGGCGCGATATCTTGATCGGCACCAATCAAATTTGCCAAAACCGCTCGATTGGATAGTGCACCGTTTCGAGAATGCTGCGCTTCGTTCGATCGCGCTTCCTGGCGCCGTCGCCGGTGAGCCATGCGCTCAACCACACGTGGGCGCCCCGCGCTGCGGCCAAGCAGCCCGAGCGCGCGCGCGTCGCCCTCGTCGGGCGCACCAACGTCGGCAAGTCGACGCTCTTCAACCGCCTCACCAAGTCTCGCCGGGCCATCGTGCACAACGTGCCGGGCACGACGCGTGACCGCCGCTTTGGCATCGTACGCGCAGAAGCTATGGCATCTTGCTTATGCAATGTAGGGCTACTTGGCCGGCCTGGAGTTTGATGTGATCGACACGGGCGGTCTCGCCGATGCACCCACGGGCAGGTAGACATCGTAGTGTCCGATGGACCGTGGTCTCATGCGGCTTTAGCTTGGAGCAAGGCATGTTGTCGCAAACCGAGCGCGCACTCCATGAAGCCAACTTGATCTTGTTCTTGGTCGATGGGCGCGAGGGAATCACGGAGATTGACAAGCACTTTGCTCGGTATTTCATCTCGCTGCATGCGACGCCTAATATGCTCAAACAACGTAGCTGGCTGCGCAAGGCCGACCCCAAGGCGCCGATCCATCTGATCGCCAACAAGCTCGAAGGCGACGCGACGCGGTGGATGCCCAACATTCACGAGTGCCACACGCTGGGCATGGGTACAACATTTCGCATCCTCTCGCGTCGTCTTCATGGTCTCATGGACGTCCTAGGCGACCCGCTCATCATGTCGGCGGAGCATGGCGAAGGCCTTCCGGACCTCGTACCGCTGATTGCGCCGATCGTCGACGAACATGCCGTCGCCTTTGCAATGACGCAAGCGGCCGAGGAAAACGCCGACGAGATCGACCTCGACGAAGCCAAGGAAGACATTGAAAGCGTATCTTTGCTTCGAGTGCGACGACGCCGACTTATCCGTATTGTAGCAGCGCGCGATCAAGCTCGCGATCGTGGGCCGCCCGAACGTGGGCAAGGTACGCCTGTCCTGCAACGACGACGCAGTTGATGTCATCGTCGCCACTAGTCGACGCTGCTCAACAAAATCGTGCGCGACGACCGTGTCTTGACGGGCCCCGAGTAGGCCGTCCAGCCTCCGATTCTTCAATGCGCTGACTATACTATGCGTGTAGGCCGGGTGTCACGCGCGACTCGGTCGAAGTGTCGTGGAACTTTCAGAACCGCGAGATCACGCTCGTCGACACGGCCGGCATTCGCAAGTTTAGCAAGGTACCAATGCAAGTGGCGATGCCACATGTCTCACTTTGCACTTGGCAGCGCGACCACTCGAACCAGATTGAAAATCTCTCGGTGCGGGACACGTACGATGCGATCAGCTCGGCGCAGGTCGTCGTCGTCGTTGTCGATGTCAGCGAAGAGCACCTGATCCATCTCGACCTCACGATTGCCCAGCGGGTACACACACCGCATCCTTGCGATGAACTGCCGACCTCACGATGCCATTAGGTCTTGGACGAAGGCCGTGCGCTGGTGCTCGTGGCCAACAAGTCGGACCTTGTCGAGAACGCAGCAGCCGAGATCGAGCGCATTCGCAAGGAGCTCGATGGGTCGCTCGCCCAGGTATAGCGGTCCCACGTTTCGTACGTTTGTCGCTGACGTCGAACTCTAGGTCCGTGGTGTGCCCGTGGTCCCCATCAGTGCACTCACGGGCAAGGGCGTCCGTGGTATTCTCCCCGAAGTGTAGGTTGGTCGTTATCACAGCATGTTGCTTACGCCGGCGTGATGCCACCCTGATAGCGTCGAAGCCCACAACCGGTGGGACTTGCGCGTGACCACGGGTCGCCTCAACCGGTGGCTCGCGGCCATGGACCGCCATCACCCGCCGCCGACGGTCAAGGGCAAGCAGCTCAAGGTCAAGTACATGACGCAGGTACGACATGGTCTCTCTTGACAGCCAAGGCGTTCACGATCGAGGTAGGTCAAGGCGCGGCCGCCGACCTTTGCCGTGTTTGTCAACCGTCCCGAAGATGTGCCCGAGACATACCGCCGCTTCCTTCTTAACCAGCTCCGCACCGAGTTTGATATGACGGGCGTGCCCGCGCGTCTCCTTCTTCGCGGTGGCGAAGACAACCCGTACAAGAAGGGCTACGCTCGCGCCAAGCCCATGAACCGTCGTACCAAGAAGATGCCAACCAAGCCGTCGTCGTCGTCGGCCAGTGCCGAGAAGGAGCCTGCCTCGCCCAAGGCAGCGCCGTCGTCGGTGCCCAAGGCGGTGTCGTCCGAGAGCCGCCCTAAGCAAACGACCAAGAAGCACCCGAACAAGATGAAGGCCGCCAAGAAGTCGGGCAAGGCCAACATGAGCATGAGCTCGGGCCTCGGTCGTCTGCCGAGCAAGACGCTCAAGCCCACGGCGCGTGCGGCGGCGAGTGCGACGCCGTCGCGGGCAGCGTCGCCGACGCGGTCGGGCGCCAAGAAGACGGCCACCACGGGCACCAACAAGAAGGAGAAATCCCCGCGCTGGAGTGAGAAACGCAAAGACGCAGCGAAGAAGTCGCAAGGTCTTCGCCCACGCAAGGGGTAATCTTCATAATCAAGCAGCTGGCGTATCCGCCGTACCCTCCAAAGTTGAAGTTAGTTTGCAAACCGCGTGACGTGTCGGCTTTCTACGGCGGCATTACTCGCAGACACGTCGACAATGACTTTTCGAGAAGTGCAATGGCAAGGTGGTCGCCACATCGCAGCCTCGTACGGTATTGTAGCCTACAATACCGTACGGGGCCTCCTACAATTTGTAGGAGGCCCTGCATTCCATGCTCAAAGTTATATTAGTAAATCGACTAGCCACGACGACGACGTAGCAAGGAGGGTTTCGTAGAGGACAGCGCGTGACGAGTATTTGTGTCGTCGACTGAATGATGATGATGATGTCGTCAGCCAACATTTCATTGTGGCACGGCGATTGCTGCGGCAACCGCTTCCCGTCATCGGACATGGGACACGCGCCTGCATAGATACACGCATGGGATGGCGAAGCGTCCGGAAGACAGGGCCATCTGTCGGAGGGCGAGGAAGGCTGGCGGCGTTATCTCGAGGGACTTGGCCCGACCACTAATCGTGGCTGCATCGCTGGCGCGACAAGAAGGTACATGGCGCGCTGCCCCTTGGCATGCTATGCACATCGCGTCATCCGTACCACCGGGGTGTGGGCAGATGCAGGGTACCTGCACCCAGTATCCCGAGGAAGCTTCCCTCGTTGGTTACGCATCCGGATGCGCCGGATACGTGGCGTCACTAGCGTGAAGTTGTGATGCCCAAGTGGCGACGCCACGCGTTTTCATTGGTGTATAATGTCGCATTTTGGCCAATCGCATGCGTCAACGGCAAAACGGCAAGGTGGGGCGGATGATCATTTCCCAATTTGCGTGGTCGCCAAGAAGCCAAGTCCCATGAGCGCTAGCGCCTTCTCGAACCAGGCCTTCAAGGTCAACAGCAAGGACGTCGTCTACTCGGCCGAGGCCATCACGACCAACTACACGTACGCGACGACCCACTTTGAGAACAACGTGGCGACGCCCGTCTCGGAGGAGTACGTCATCACGACGTCGACCAAGGTGCCCAAGCTCGGCGTCATGATCGTCGGCCTCGGCGGCAACAACGGCTCGACGCTCGTGGCCGGCGTGCTCGCTAACAAGCTCGGCCTGACGTGGACGGACAAGGAGGGCCTCCACAAGGCCGACTACTTTGGCTCGGTCACGCAGTCGTCGACGGTGCGCCTCGGCACCAACAACAAGGGCGAAGGCGTCTACGTGCCCTTCAAGAACATGCTCCCGATGGTCAACCCCAACGACTTTGTCATTGGCGGCTGGGATATCTCGGGCCACAACCTTGCGGATGCCATGGTGCGCGCCAAGGTCCTCGACTATGACCTCCAGCGCCAGCTCATCCCGCACATGGAGAAGATCAAGCCGCTCCCGTCGATCTACTACCCCGACTTTATCGCTGCCAACCAGGCCGACCGCGCTGACAACGTCCTCCAGGGCTCCAAGCAGGACAACCTCGAGACGATCCGCTCGCACATCCGTGACTTCAAGAAGTCGAACGGCTGCGACAAGGTCATTGTCTTGTGGTCGGCCAACACGGAGCGCTTCTCGGACATTGTCGAGGGCGTCAACGACTCGGCGGAGAACATCTTGGAGGCCATCAAGGCTGGCGAGGACGAGGTGTCGCCCTCGAGCGTGTTCGCGATTGCGTCGATCCTCGAAGGCGCCTCGTACATCAACGGCAGCCCCCAGAACACGTTCGTGCCGGGTGTCGTCGAGCTTGCCGAGAAGCACAAGGTGTTCATTGGCGGTGACGACTTCAAGTCAGGCCAGACCAAGATGAAGTCGGTCCTCGTCGACTTCCTTGTTGGCGCCGGTATCAAGCCCGTCTCGATTGTGAGCTACAACCATCTCGGTAACAACGACGGCAAGAACTTGTCGGCGCCGCAGCAGTTCCGCTCCAAGGAGATCTCCAAGTCGAACGTCGTCGATGACATGGTCGACTCGAACCGCATCCTCTTCAACGAGGGCGAGCACCCCGACCACTGCGTCGTCATCAAGTACGTCCCGTTCGTCGGCGACTCGAAGCGCGCGATGGACGAGTACACGAGCAAGATCTTCCTCAACGGCACCAACACGATCGTCATGCACAACACGTGCGAAGACTCGCTCCTCGCGACGCCGCTCATCCTCGATCTCGTCATCATTTGCGAGCTCGCGGAGCGCATCCAGATCCAGAAGAAGGGCGCGGCCGAGGCCGAGCGCTTCCACTCGGTGCTCTCGATCCTCAGCTACATGCTCAAGGCGCCGCTGGTCCCCAAGGGCACGCCGATCGTGAACGCGCTCTTTGCCCAGCGCGAGTGCATCATCAACATCCTCCGCGCATGTCTTGGCCTCCCCGCCGAGAACTACATGCAGCTCGAGAACAAGCTCGCGAGCGAAATCAACAAGCGCCACTAAACGCGTGCTCGGATAGGATATGGTTCATATAGCGAAAGCATTTTTATTTCCACTTTGCACTTTGGCTTGTCGAATCTTCCAAAGACGACTCCGCAACTGACGATCGTCGACTGCCATCGTGATGGTAGATGAGGTAGTCTTCGTATATGCCTGCGTGCCAGTAGAGCACCGAGAGGCAAGCTTGGGCCAATGGCTTGGATAATGCTACGTCGGCTGCGTCAACCGAGCCGACGACGTTGGATTCCGTTCTTCACAAGTGCATCTGGCTGTCTGGCCCGAGCTGCTCTATGCCTAATCTAGGGAGCGTCCTCGCACCTCTTTCGTGCGATGCTAGCCTTGACGACGCGGCCGTCGCGCGAGTACTCGACGTACGCCTCCGTGGACGCGAGAAGCAGCTCCTTGGACGGCGCCTTGGTCTGCTCGCCGTACTTGTCGACTAGCACAAGGCTGCAGTATGCCACATACTAGTAAGAGGCCAGGCCATCAGCGATCCATCTTACGTCTGGCGCGTGGGCCGCCGGGCGCTGGATTGTCATCGGCGGTCCCTTCTCGCTCATCGTTCTTCATGGCTTATGGTGGAGGTCGCGTTGGCTCATCGCGTTGGTTGCCACGACGGCCGGCGGCGGGTCGCAAGATTCGCCTGATGTGGCTGTTGAAAGTGCATTTTATTTTCAATAATAAAAATAAAGTTCAAACGAATTTCGTATCCGGCCAATTGACTTTGACGAAGACGACGACGACCATGATGGAGGGCAAGCGCGTCGCACTGCAGACGTCGGTCGTCGCCGAGTACCCCGGGCGCGTCGAGTGCGTCGTGCACTACTCCATGCGCGTGCTCGTCGGCACGTCGGACGGGAAGCTCGTCTTGTACGACACGCGCAAGGACACGAGCCGCCCGATCGCGTCGCACGAGCTGCCCCATCGTGGCCGCGTGCAGCAAATCCTGGTCGTCCCGCACATCCGCATGGTGCTCGTCCTCGCCAACAACGTCGTGACGGTCCACGCGGCCACGGACCTCGAGCTCCTTGCGTCCGATCTGCACCTCGCCAAGGACGTCGTGCACCTCTGCGTCAACCAGCGTGGCCCGCCCCACTTTCGCATCTGCGCCTCGTCCGGCTCGAAGCTCCAGCTCTTCCAGTTTGAGGCCAAAGAGAAGCGGTACCGCTTTCTGCGCGAATTGCCGGTGGCCAGAGCGCCCGACAGCGTTGCGTGGTACCGCAACAAGCTTGTGGTTGGCGGTCGCGACGGCTACGTACTCATGAACGACAAGACGGGCGAGACAGCGCCGATCAACCTGAGCATGGGCGGCGCCGGGACCGCGGCCATCAAGCTCCTTCCGAACGAAGAGATCGTCGTCGCGGCCATGGACACGGTCGGCGTCTTTATCACGTTCACGGGCGACCCGGTCGAGCGCAACTCGATCTCGTGGTCCAAGCCGCCGTCCGCGATCGAGTTTACGTCACCTTACATAGTCGCGCTGCTGCCGTCGAAGGGCGTCGAGATCCACTCGCTCGCCGACGCGTCGCTAGTCCAGTTCCTCCCGATTCCGCGGATCGCCGCGATCTTTAGCAACGGCATGAAGTGGGACATGGACCCACGTCCTGTCGGCGACTCGGAGGACGTGGTCGTTGTTGCGCAGCTCAACCCGTCCGGGACCACCTCGATCCTCAAGATCGAGCAGACGCCCATGGACCAGCAAGTGACGGAGCTCCTCGAGCGTGGCAAGATCGAGGACGCGTCGGACCTGATGAAGAAGAGTCTTGCTTCGCTTCCGACCGACAAGCAAAAGAGCCGCATGCGTCGCTTTCACCGCCAAGTCGCGATCGCCCTCCTCCGCCGCTGCGAGTTTGATAGCGCCGTCGAGTTTGTCTACCGGTCCGGTATGGACCCGCGCGAGTGGCTCTCGTTCTTTCCGGAGCTCTGCGCGCCGAGCTTTGCGTACGAGCCGACGGTACTCACGCCGGACGTGTTGCCGCGCGGCAATAGCGCGAGTCCGGATATGAAGTCGGTGCTTGCCGTGCTGCTCAAGGATCACGCGCAAGTGATGGCGCCCGAGATTGCATCGGCCGGCGCGTCCAAGCTCCACCAGCATGCGACCAAGGCGCTCATGAAGTCTCTCGAGATGATCAAAAAGCATGCCAGGTAGACCCAGTCCCGCCATCCGACCGTGCACCTCGCTCACCCGAGTATGATTATGCTTGTTATCTAGCCGGGACCGCAGCGCATCGAAAGAGTCGCCGTTTGCGACGCCCAACCGGTCTCGGTCGGGCAGCCGCGACCGGGCGTTCTCATCCCGCTCAAACTCGATCGCGTCCGTGCCCAAGGATTTGCAGCGCGCCGAGGCTGTTGACACGGCGCTCCTGCGTCTGTACATTCTCTTTCAGCGCTTTCCGGAGATTACGACGCTGCTCACGTCGTTGGACGCGCAAGGCGACGGCGCCCACGTCGATATGGGCTCGTCCCAGAGCCTCCTCATGCGCCACCATTTGTACTATGAGCTCGGCCTCTTGTTTGAGCGCCACGGCCGACTCCTCGATGCACTCGACGTCTATGCGCGCATGGGCTCGGGCGAGTACGTTCAAAGCACGGTGGATGACAGCGCGTCCGGTGTCCTCGCGACCGTCGAGCTGTTGCGGACGCTCGACGACCCTGCGCTCGTCTATGCCCACTCGGTATTTTCTTGGCTTTTTTCTTGTATCAAGTTGATATTTTGGTGTAGAAATGGGTGCTGCAGACCGCGCCGCAAGAAGGGCTGCGTATTTTCACCAGCCGCAAACCGGGGCTGCCCAAGCTTGTCGTGGCCGATGTGGCGAGTCACCTCAAGGCGCACTCGTCGGACGCGTCTGTCGCAGCCAAGTACCTCGAAATCATGGCCGACGAGTCGGGCGGTGGCAAGGGCATCGCGCTCGACATTGAAAACCCCCACCACACGCGCCTCGCACAAGAGTACCTCGATGAAGTACTCAAGCTTCTCGCAGGCGGCGACGTGCCGTCCAAGTCGAATCCCGGCCGTGAACCTGGCGTACTCGCCTCGTGGATTAGTTGATGCTGACGCCTGCTGTAGGCCTTTGGCATCGCGCGCAAGCGGCTGCTCAAGTTTCTCAAAGCACCGGAATCGGCGTACGACGTCTCGGCGCTCATGTCCAAAGTCAAGGCGTCGCCGCTGCGCGCCGAGTTTGTCGTGCTCTGTGGCCGCGGCGGCTTTCACGACGAAGCGCTGCGCTCGATGCTGGGTACGAGCGACGACCTCGCGGGCGCCGAAGCCTACTGCGACAAGTACGGGTCGTCGGGTCGCGGTGGCACCAACAAGGCGCTCTTGCTGCTGTTGCAACTGTGCTTTGCGGACCTCGACAACGTCGACCGCGTCGAGTTTGCCCATCACGTCATGGTACTAGGTCTTCTGGCCTGCTTGTCGATTGACTTGATGGTATATAGGCCCGCCACGCCAAGCAGCTACCCGGTATCACGGCGCTGGAGCTCATTCCACCTTCGACGCCGTTGGCCAAGGTCACGGAGTTTCTCGGGCAGCTCCTACCGCATAGCGCGCATCAAGTTCGCGACCAAATGCTTGCGCGGAACCTCTCCAACATTTACAACCTCCAAGTGCAGTGCGAGCGCGTCGAGCGCATCTCCGAGTCGGTCGAGATTGACGCCAAGACGACCTGCGGCGTGTGCAAGAAGCGCATCGACACGACCATCTTTGCCGTCTACCCCAACGGCTCGCTCGTGCATTTCAGCTGCGGCGCCAACGCCAGCATGGAAGTCGACCCGGTGACCGGCATGGACTTTAGCAACTAAACTACTAAACTACTACTGCGTGTCGACTAGAACGAGACCTCACGGACGTGTCGTGCCCGTCACGGCTTGCGTCGACGTGACGAGGGAGGTTACGTTGCATAATAGAGGGTCGCGTATGTTGTGAAGGAATCTCTCTCTGATGGCCGACTGACGACTGACTGGCTTACTGTGGTATACAAACCGCAAGTCACGCGGGGAGTCCGGATATTCGCCAATGGTATCCGTATGCTGGTGTCCGGATACGGCTTGGAACAACAAGAACTCGCTCCAGGGTGTTTCGTTTCCCACGGGCGTCGACGACGACGACGACGGCAGCGCGCGGCAACGACGGACGACCTCCTTCCGCGACGACGACCTCATCCTCCTCCTCTACGTACGTCAAGATGGAGGCGACGGCCGAGGTAGACAGGCTCCTATATGTAGGCGCGACGAAGCTCGAGGGATGCTGCCTGCGACTGGCGAACGGACCAACGAAGGCAAGAGCTACAACTCGCACGTCCTCGCAATGAGCTCGCGCCCGCTCGCGGTCGTGCCCGAGGTCCGCGACGAAGACATCGACACGACGGTCGTACCAGGCCTCCCGATTGCGGTCCATCGCATCGAGCGCGAGCGCGAGGACAAAGCCGCGGACAAGCAGCAGAAGAACAGCCACTTTGAGAAGCTCAACACGCTCAAGCTGCTCATGGACACGGGCCATCTCTCGGAAGAAGAGTACATGGTACGAATCGTTGGCGATGGACACGAGATGGATGGATGATGTGCTAGGAGCGGAAGACGCAAATTATCAACGAAATGACGGGCACGAGCTCCCAGCGCCGTACTATAGCAAAGCTGTGGCAACGCGTATGATCTCATGCTCTCTTGTCGTATCTAGCGGGCGTGCAGCGAAAACCCAAGACGCTGCAGCCGATCATGAAGACGGTCGTACCGCATAACCCGCCCGATTTTTCCCACCTCCTCAAGGAAAGGGCCGAGAAGCTCAGCTTTGACGCCGATACGCTCGAGTGGAACTCGTGCCATACCATCGTCAAGCTGGACCTTGTCCCGTTCGCAACGGGGCAGCTCCGCAACGCGTACTACCTTCAGGTACATTGCCCCGCCTCTACATGAAGTATCTGATGAAGGGCACACGATAGGATTTAGGTACGAATGGTGACAGCGACGGCAAGCTCTATGTCGCCAAAGTCATTATGGGCGCGGCCGAGCCGAGTGCATATCTATGGTATCCGTGTATTTCTTGTGGAGACCGGTGGATGACGCGCCACCTGTCACTAGCGATGTCGAGATGCAAGCGGTGTGCGCGTACTACGCCAAGCTCTACAACGAGCACGAACCGCCACTCAAGGTCAAATATGCGAGCTCGTGGCTTCTCAAGGTACACTCCTTCGTCAAGGTCAGCGTTCTAACGTCGATGTAGCTGCGAGATCGACAAGACTTGGTGTGCTCGGTTGAGGAGTACCTTCCCGGCGAGTACGTCAAGTATAGCAACAACAACGGGTTTGTCGGGAAGGAGACAAGCACGACAGAAGAGCGCGAGCGCAACACACCGCAGGTACGCTATTGGACGAGGGCTGAAGTTTGGGAGCTCAACTTCTCCGGCAGGCGTTTTCGCACTTCACTTTTGTCTCGTCCGACTTTCGCCTCATGGTCGTCGACATCCAAGGCGTCAATGACAGCTACACGGACCCGCAAATCCACACGGCAGACGGCCGCGGCTTTGGCTCGGGCAACCTCGGGACGCACGGCATGGAAAAGTTTCTCGAGTCCCATCGCTGCAACGAAGTCTGCCGGTAGCACCACTGGCATCCACGGTTGGATCACGTCAACGATTTAGGTGGCTCGGCCTCCGTACCCTGAACGAGCAGTTCAAACCAGGCGGTACCGCCGCCCCACTGTACCGCATGCCGCTCGCCGCGATCAAGAAGTCGACGAGCCGCATCACGGAGGAGCGCAACTCGTTTTCACGGTCCGTGACCGTCTCGGAGGTGCTCGGCACAACGACCGTGACGTCGGCGTCGCTCATTACGAACGAGTCGACGCCGTTTCTGCATGGTCGGCCTCCAGCGCCGCCATTGACGCTCGGGTCGCTCCTCTGGAAGTGCCTGCAGTCCATGTGCTGTTGCCTTGGCGGCGACGCAGCGTAATTTATCACAATCTCCTCCATCTCTCCCGCCGCCATAGACGACGACGACGGACGACTAGAGCCCTTATTAGCGTGTACTATAGTAAACAAATCACGTCGTTGACTGTTGATGCTCCTCACACGCGCGCTTGCTCCGAGTTCTCGTCCGTCTCGTGGCTGTCGCCAGTCTCGGCGAGGTGCTGCGCTCGCGTCGACGCTGCAAGCTGCCGCCGCGAGAGGCTCTTGCGTAGGGACACTTCGTCGTCGTCGCCGTGTTGCATGTCTGCTTCGATCGTGCGCTCTTGAACGTACTCGGCGAGGAAGGCGTCCTAGCACCATGGAGTCAGTGCTCGAGACGACTCGAGACGCTGTACGAGGATCGACGCAATGAAGAGGTTGAGAGTCACAATGACGCCAACGATCCAATAGCTGATGAAGAAGAAGCGCGCGTAGATGGTCGTGACGGCGACGTGGCCATCGACGATGACGAACCAGTTGTTGACAACGAGGAGCTCAAAGAGCGTCACCATGCCGCTTGGAATGTCGTTAAAGTTGTTGGCATAGTACCGGTTCACGGTATACGACACATTGGGATAGCGCGCGTCCATCGTCGCCGGCGAGATTTTGCCGCCAAAAAGGTGGTGCCCCACAAGGGCGAAGAGGTTCATGTTGCAAAAGAGCACGAGCAGAATGTTCTTGCCGACAGGAAGGAGTCGCAGCCATGCTGAGAAGAGCACGCGGTAGCTACACCAGCGCGAATGAGGATCGACAGTCACCGCTTCACGTTGTACCGCTTGACGGCCATGATGAGCCGGAGGAGACGCAAGCAGCGCACGAGCAGCAGGACTTTGACCATGGTATGGCTGTTGTACGCGTTGGGAATATACGCGTAAATGTCGATCGTCAAGGACGCGACAGTGATGAGCGCGTCAAACCGGTTCTTCCCCGAGTACCAATACTCGCGGACGCCGAGCACGAGGAGCTTGAGGAGCATTTCGAGCAGAAAGAGGCACGAGAAGCACGTCGCAACAGCTTCCCACCGCGACCACGAACCCGACATGGAGAAATTGTCGATATCCGTCGTAAACTCGATGACGATCACGATCGCGTTGATGACGAGGAGCGCGTCAAAGAAGAGTTCAAACCAGCGGTGCGTCACGTAGGTGCCTACGCAATACGTATATAAGAACCGATTGATGGCATCTCTTACAGAGGCGTTGATAGCGGGGCGACGACGCCAGTGCCGGAAACAACATGTCGACTTCGCTCGGCTTGGGGCGATGAAGGCTCATGTAGGCGCGCATGACGTCGCAAATATCGATAAACTGCGCCACGTACACGCGGCCGTCGTCGTTCTCGTCGAGTTGGTGGAAGAGGTCCTTCATGTGCCGCTTCTTGAGCGCCTTGATAACCTTGTACTGGTTGAGCTCGGTGAAGAAGCACACGAGAAGATCCAATGCAATGTGCTCGTCTTCGCTCTCGTCGTTGGTGTGGCTTTTCTGGACAGCGGCGAGCGTGCGGAAGGCTTTGGTGAGAAGCCGGTCGCGGTTGGCAGCGTGCGTAGCCGCTTCGCGCGACGCCACCCACTGAAAGTTGGAAAAGACTTGGGCCAAAATGACGTTCATGAGGAAGAAGAGCCCGAAAAACACAAAGCAAATGAAGAAGAGGGCGTTCGCGCGGTGCATTGCGTACGCGGGCATCATGACGTCGGGAAAATTCGCCGTCGTGAGAAGAATGAGCAGCTGCCACGAGGACTCGAGAAACGACGACGTGATTGCGGCTACGCAAACATGCCCAGGTGTCCATGATACTCAAGTAGTCGGCAGGTGGATCCGAGTACCTTGCGGCGTGTCCCGGAAGAGAATCGTCGCGAGCCAGCCGCAAAAGAGCACGTAAATCCCCACGAGGCAGAGGAGGTTGCCGACCTCGCCGAGCACAAAGTAGAGCTTTTGGTACGTCGACCGCGCGGATCGAAGAGATGAAACGAAGATCAAGAGGCGGAAGAACGATGCGACGCGACCGGCATCGGCAAAGTTCCCAGCGAGGCGCACGACAACGTTGACGGTCGCGGCCGTGTACAGCAGCGAGACGGCGAGCCTACGCCGACTGAGCGAGCTGCGAGAAGGAGGCATATATGTACCGGTCGCGACGCGCTGCGTACTTGCGCTTGAGCGACGAGAGAAGAAGCATGTCGTTGCCCCAAATGATAGCGAGACAGGCGACTTCAACCGCCATCGACTGCCGGCCCGAGAGCCACGCCATGTCAAACGTCAGCGGCGTCGTGGCGTCGTCGGGGTCGCCACACGGGTGGTCGCCACTGTTGGCGCACCAATACGGCGTCTCAATGTACGAGAGCGAGAGAAGGACGGTGACGGCGAAATAGCGCACGTAGCGTAGCCGGTAGTAGAGCTTGAGGAGCTGCACGGCGCGCACGGTGGCGTCCGGATGCGGCTTCTCAAAGCCGCGAAAGGCGTCTTCGACGAGCCACGCGGCTTTGGTGACCAGGTGGCGGTCCTCGGGCCCGAGCTCGAGCAGCGGTTGCTGGAGCATCCTTGACGAAATTTGACACTGCCACGTTGCTGATCGCCAAGATCGGGTGTCGATCCTAATTAGGCGCGACCAACAAGCGATTGCTATATCGCCCAGCAGACAAAGTCTCATGGTGGACAAAGGCAGCCGAATGGTACTGTCACCTTCTACCGGGTATTGCTCGTCGCACGGTAGATACTACTGTAGTAGAGGGCACAGACTTGCCGCCGCATTGTCAGTGAGAGCTCCTGCCTTAGAGCGAATGTTGCCCAAGGGGTCGGATCCTAAATAGGACATTGGGATGTGCACTCCACATCCGGGCCTCGAGCCACATCACAGTCGTCGTCGGGGCTATCACCATGCGAGCGTTGGCTCCATCTCGCCTTGCTACTCGTACCTTTATAGCTGTCAAGGCTGCAATTAGGCATAGGGAGCGAGGTGCACCGACGATGTGCGGGAATGGACGGCTCTCACGGCACGTCATCGCGCGACTGACATCTGATTCAACCAATGGATGGCTCTCGTGACTTGGATCTGGCTCCAAGGTCAAAATTTGACCTAATACAACCGAACGCCAACAACATAATTCATGTATCGGGAGTGCAAAGAAACTCATACGCACTGTTCTTCGCACGAGAAACAGTGCTTGACGATTGCATCGTTGTTGTACGCGTTGGGAATATACACGTAAATGTCGATCGTCAAGGACGCGACAGTGATGAGCGCGTCAAACCGGTTCTTCCCCGAGCGCCAACACTCGCGGACACCGAGCACGAGGAGCTTGAGGAGCATTTCGAGCAGAAAGAGGCACGAGAAGCACGTCGCAACAGCTTCCCACCGCGACCACGAACCCGCCATCGTCGATTGCATATTCGTAAACTCGATGACAATGCAGTATCTTCATGTTTGTGTTTGCGAGCTTTTGTAGCTTTTACAAATTCGTTTCACACATTTCAAACTATCAATTGGATACTAAAACGATTAGCGCACGCACGGGTTATCATCATGCGTCGCTTTGGGCGCTACGTGCACAGGGATCCATGCGTGAGTCGCCAGCCTCAGAGCCCATTTTAATGAAAAACAACTTTAAATCATCATCCGGATAGTTCGGATACGGAGTTTCTACCCTTGCGATACATGTACAAGGCACTGGGACTGAGCTCTGGGACTGACAAACTCATGCTCCACAAGCTCAAGGCCGTTCGCGCGCCTTCGCACTTCACAGCCGGTCGCCGCGTCCCTGCGCTCTCATCCGCGACTTTCAACGGCATTCGCCTCGGCGTCCCGATGACCTCCGTTGCCCACGTCCAGGTCGCCACGCCCAATGTGGCGCGTCGCGAGTTCAGCACGACCGATGTCCCCGTGCCCTCGATGGGAAATCGGATCTCGGAGAGTACCGTCGTCAAGTGGGTCAAAGCGGTCGGCGACTCCGTCGAGGTCGATGAAGTTGTCGTTGTGCTCGAGACGGACAAGCTCTCGGTGGACGTGCGCTCGCCGCAAGCAGGTGTCGTTGTCAAGCATTTGGCGACAGTCGGCGCCACGGCGCTGGTTGGTGCTCCGCTTTTCCGCTTGACTAAAGGCGCTACCAGTGCTGCTTCGACGCCGGCGCCACCTACCGGCCCAGATACGGTTGGTGTTCCCATCACGATCAAGGTTCCGTCGATGGGCGACAAGATCTCGGAAGCCACGGTCGCTAGCTGGGCCAAAGATGCCGGTGATCATGTAGATGTCGATGAAGTTGTTCTCGTTCTCGAGACGGAGAAGGTCACGGTCGATGTCCGCGCCCCCAGTGCGGGTGTCATGCAAAAACAGCTCGTCAAGGTCGAGGACGTTGTCAAGGTTGGTGCGCGTCTTTTCCATATGGTCCCCAATGCTGCGCTGACCGCGACCCAGAAGCGCGCTGCTGCGGTCAAGGCTGCAGCCCTGCAAGACGGCAACAAAGCTGGGATTCGATCCGTACTCGCTCGGATTCTTTCTGGGTTCGGAAAGCGCTCGATCGAATGACTTTGAGTAAACGTGACGTGGGACGCGATTCACAACCCGTGGTAGCAAGTAGCAGATCGTGGCTCTGGTAAAATCATTCGTGTAAGCATTGCGAATCAAAGGTTTAAGTTTTCGAACCGCTGCGTTGACCCGTCTAAAATGCCTTTCAAAGCGACCGTCAGTGGACAGCCTAAGTATTCACTACATGCGATAATGGATGGCTCTCAAGGCTATCTCGCCAATGACATCTGATTCCACGAAGACATATTGCGCTATTCCGTGGTGCCGTCACGGCGATGGCAGGAACGTGTGGGCCAAGGGACTGCTGGTACTGGTGGTCGCGAACGGCTTGAGGACGGTCATCTGACGCTGGTTCGAAGCAAACTCCAGAGCGAACGCGTCCTACGCACCGTATTTCAGAGCCTACCATGACATGAACTGCGCACCAGAATCGAAGCCACAAAGAGGTTGAGCGTCAAGATGACGCCCAGGAGCCAAAACGCGATAAAGAAGAAGCGCGCGTAGATCGACGTCACGAGCACGTGGCCCTCAGCGATTACAAACCAGTTGTTGACAACGAGGAGCTCGAAGAGTGTCACCATGCCGCTCGGAATGTCGTTAAAGTTGTTGGCCGCGTATCCACTCGTCGTGTAGCTCGAGGCGGGAAACTCGCTCGTCATGCGGTTCGGTGTGATCTTTCCCCCAAAGAGTACGTGTCCGAGCGCAGCAAAGAGGTTCATGTTGCAAAAGAGCACGAGAAGCAAGCTCTTGCCGACGGGGAGGAGGCGCAGCCACGTCAGAAAGATGACGCGGTAGTGGGAAACGTTCATGATGAGCCGAAGAATCCGAAGACAGCGCGTCGTCAGAAGCACCTTGACCATCATGTGGTCGTTGTACGCGTTCGGGATGTAGGCGTAAGCATCGATGACAAGCGAAGTCACGGTGATGAGCGCGTCGAAACGGTTTCGACCGTCATCCCAGTATGCGCTGGCGCCGTAAACGAGCAGCTTGCAGAGCATTTCAAGCACGTAGACCAGTGAGAAGCCCGAGTCGACGAGCTCCCAGTTGCGCAAGCCGGTTGCATGCGCCGGCGTCGCAAATTCGATCATGATGACAAGCGCGTTGAGGACGAGGAGGATGTCGATACTGAGTTCAAAGAACCGGTGCTGCACCGTGCGACCTAGTATCGACATGCGAGTGAATGACGTTTCTCGCAAGGAAAATTGGTTACGTACAAAAGACACTGAAGCAATGCGTGGACGCAAAGCGCGGACACCAGCGCTGTATCTCGGACGGCTGGTGCACGCGAGCACGCGTTATCGTCAGCATGACCTCGCAAAGGCGCGTAAAGTCATGTCGCGCAATGAAGCCAAGACCCTTGACATCCAGCTCTTCCACAATCAAAAGGCGGTGGCTCTGCGTGGTGCGTGGCGCCGCACGGTACCGCTGCAACTCGAGCAGCACTTGATGGCACAAGCTCACGTCTAGGCTCGGTCCGGCATCGATGTTGAGCGGGTGTCGACGTGGCGAGGTCGAGTACATGAGTGTTTGCTTTTCTTGCAGCGGGGACGGCGGTGGCCGCATGCTGCTCAGGAGCTCGTACGCCTCGGTGAGCATGCGTTGTCGGTTGTCGTCGAGATCAATGGCTTCCGACGATGCGATGTGCTGGTAATTGGAGAAGATTTGGGCGAGAATGACGTTGAGAAGGAAGAAGAGCCCAAAGCAGAGGAAGAAGATAAAGAAGGTCGCTTGCCACCGGCTCTTGTTGTACGCTGGCAGCATAACGTCGGGAAAGTTGGCAGTTGTGAGCAAAATGAGCATTTGCCACGACGACTCGACGTACGTCGACATGGTGCCGCCTAGAGTGCGCGTGAGACGCGTTAGCGTAGGTGTCGAAGGGCGAGTAACTTCGGCAGTGTCTTGAAATAAGATCGTAGCGAGCCAGCCAAAGAAGCACACGTACACTGCGACGAGGCTCAGAATGTGCTGGACCTTGTTAAGCACGGCAAACATCTTGAGGTACGTGCTCCGGACCGTCTGGAACGTCAGCACAAAGATGCCGAGGCGCAAGAAAAGGGCGACTTGAGCTGCAAATTCGTCAAGGAAAAGGCGGTTCATGCACGCGGCGAGAGTGAGCAGCAGTACCAGGACGCTATGTTCATTGTCATTAGCCTCCGTAAACAAACACGAGCGTACCGATCGCGCCGAGCAGCAAAGTGGCGTCGAAGGGCGACCACGAGAAGGAGATCACTCGCACCGACAACGCCGAGGCAGCACAACTCGACCAGCAACGCCGTCGACCGCGACAGCGTCGGAAGGTTAAAGGTCAGCGGCGTTACAGACGCGCCGGGGTCTCCGCACGGCGCACGGGCATCGACACCGCGGCACCAAAAGGGCACTTCAACATATGAGAGAAGGAGGAGGAGCAGCACCGCGAGCCGCCGGGGGTAGTAGAGTCGGTACGAGAGGTTAAAGCATGCAACGTTAATGGACTGCGAGCTGTCGGGGTGCGGGCGGGCGATGCCAACGAACGCGTCCTCAACAAGCCACGCCGCCTCGCGCACCTTGGCCGCCTCGTCCATCGGTTACACTGGAACCGGTTTCACCAGAGTCGCACTTAATCGAGTGCCCTATACACTATTTCACTTTCCTACCGTACTTGAATGGGGCAAGGTCTTGGAGAGCATTCATTGTTGTCGCAAGCGAATGCACCACGAGTGCACTTGAGTTGGCGCGCAAGGACTTTGATCAATGCTAGTGGCTATGAATATCCAAGTATATAAAATCTTGGTGGTCTTGGCTGGCCGGTACGACGCTGGGACGACGTGGTGTTGCGATGTTCGCGTACAAGTGCTAGGATGGCTTCCGGATGCGTTTCCGGATTTTGGTGTCGAAGCGGTTACGAGCCAGTTCTAGTTACAGCATTCCACGAGGTCGAGCATGGACGGGATGGCGACGTACGAGGACAAGGTCGACGCAGTCGGGTCGCCGCGGGCCGCGTACACTCGGGGAGCCAAGCACTTTCGCCATGCGGTCCAGAGCCCTCGGCGCCAGACGGAGGCCGACATTGTGCACAAGCAGCAGCTTCTCGAGATCCAGGTCGGCCTTCCTCTGTGACGCATCTTCTCATGCAGCGACAGCGCTTGCGCGATCAAATGGCCGAGATGCAGCTCCAGGTGCAAGCCCTCACGACCGAGCGCGACAGCGCGATCCAAGGGCGGGCGAAGAAGCCGGCTCGGTCGATGGCGCCGTCGATGTTTTCCGTGACGGACGACGGTCCGCGCGAGCGCCACGTCGCCGCGGGTCTCGGGCGCCACGTGAGCATCGCGACGAGCAACGTGCTTCGGGCGATTCCCAAGCAAATTCCAAACCGCGTCGCAGCGCGTGTGAGCGAGGTTCATCTGTCGCGTCCGAGTGCGCGCACCTCAGGCACCATTTCTAGGCGTTTACCAACCCGCTCAAGGCGATTCAATACCTCAACTCGTTTGAGTTTAGCACGGATCTGCTCGCGCTCGCGCAGCAAGTAGCAACAATCTTTGAAAGCGAAGCGCGCTGCGTGGCCATGGAAGTACGAACATGCGAATTCGAGGCGCACGCACTTGACAACCATGGATGTCTAGAGTCCTGTGTATGTGTTTGGCGACATCCACGGCAACCTCGCGGACCTCAAATTCTTCTCGGAGAACTTGTGGCGCCTTGGGATGGGCTTGACGGCCGGGTCGTTTCTCTTCCTCGGCGACTATGTCGACCGCGGTCTCTCGTCGCTCGAGTGCATCGCGTACCTCTTTGCGCAAAAGGTACCACTCGGATGCAGCATTGCTAATGTGGACATATCTTGTCCAGATCATGCACCCGACCAAGGTCGTCATGCTGCGCGGCAACCACGAGACGCGCGCCGTGAACGGCTGGGAAGAGCACTACGGCATCGGCTCATTCCTCGCGCAATGCAAGAAGCGGTTTGGGAACGACGAAGGCTGCATCGTGTGGCACCAGGTGCACACGTGCGCAGCAACGCGCGCTAGGACGATTGCGATAGGTCAATAATGCCTTTGATCGCATGCCACTCGCTGCCGTCATCGACGACGACGTGTTCTGTGCCCACGGCGGCATTCCCCGTACGTCTTAGCATTGCTGACCAACAGCTCATGCGTTGACTAGGCCCGATTGAGAACGAGCGGCAAGTCGACTCGATTCAAAATGTATGAGAAATCCCATCTCCTCAACTGATGCGCCTCGTGTAGATTCCTCGTCTCGCGTCGTTTGACGTACTCGGGAAAGGCGCCGAGTCCAAGTCCGTGTGGCTGCAAATGGCCGAAGACCTCATGTGGGCCGACCCCGTCGCACTCGACCAGGTACAAGTTGGTCGCCAGGTCGCAAATGGAACCTCATGAACGGCTAGGAGGTATGCTTGGACAAGCACGGCTTTGGCAAGAGCGCCCGGGGGGGCAGTGCGATTTGCTTTGGCGCGACGGCGCTCGACGACTTTTTGGCGCGCCATCAATATTCGCATGTTGTCCGCGCCCACGAAGCGTGCACGCAGGGCGTGGCGCTGAGCAAAGCCGCGCGGCTCATCACGGTCTTCTCGACCTCCAAGGACCACGGCCTCGGCAAGGTATACACTCCTCCGATCCATACAGCTCGTAGGGTACCGACGCTCTATAGCGCGCCAAGTGCGGCTGCCTCCTCGTGGACCGCCACCAGCTCGTGATTCTCAACAAGTCGCACAAGTACAAGACTGGTTTCCTTCGGCGTCGAAGCAGCAGCGCGTGCTCGGCCGGCGGTAGTCCCGTCCGGCTGCTGCCGACACCGGCGCCGGCGCTCTTGCCGCCGCGCGCGCCGTCGGACGAGGACGACGACGAGTCGACCGACGACGAAGGCGACGATGCCAAGGAGCTCACAGTGATCGCGTCGGCGAGCGAGGAGGCAGCGGCGCCGATGCTGGCCGAGGACAACAACCAAGAAGAAGCCTAAGACAAACCACGATAACCTTACGAAAGGGTCTGAAGTAACGAGTAGTAGAGTTGTCTATTAAGTTCAAGAAGAGAGGAGTGAAAAAGTATTTAGTCGAGCTTGAGCTGCTTGCGGACACGCATCTTGAAGTCGGAAATCTCGCCTTCGTAGACGCGGATAGTCTTGTCTTCGACGAGCCAAATCTCCTTGGCGACCTGCGAGATGAGACGCATGTCGTGCGACACGAGGAGCATGCCGCCCTCGAACGCGTTGATGGCACGCGCGAGCGCATCGATCGACTCCATATCCAAGTGGTTCGTCGGCTCATCGAGGAGGAGCATGTGCGCGTTCTGCTGCGCAATGAACGCAAACACGACGCGCGACTTCTGGCCGTCACTGAGCTGGCCCATGATCTGCGTCTGGACTTCGCCCGTGATGCCGTAGCGGCCGAGGTACGAGCGGACGTCGTCGACGCTCTTGGTCGGGAAGAGCGAACGGAAGTACTCGAGCGGCGACTTGGTCATGTCGAGGACGTCGACGAAGTGCTGCGTGAAGCGAGCGACACGGAGCTTCGAGTGCGGGCGGATGTTGCCCTTGACCGGCGTGAGGTCGCCCGTGATGAGGTTGAGGAGCGTCGTCTTGCCCGAACCGTTGGCGCCGACAAGGGCGACGCGCGAGTCCATGTCCAAGCCGAGCTCGACACCCTCGTAGAGGAGTGGGCAGTCGGGGTAGCCAAAGGCAAGCTCCTGGAACATGAGCACCGGCGGCGGGAGGCGCTCGGGGTTGGGGAACTTGAAGTCGCCTTCCATCTCCTTGACGACCTTCTCCGTGAGGCCTTCGCGCACCATCTTGGCGAGCGTCTTCTCCTTCGACTGCGCCTGACGGGCGAGCTTGGCGGAACCGTGACCGAAGCGGGCAATGTAGTCCTTCATGTGCTTGATCTGGTCCTGCTCCCAGGCGTACTTCTTCATCTGGTTCTCTTCCTTCTCTTCCTTGGTCTTGATGTACGTGTCGTAGTCACCCGAGTAGTACTCGAGCTTCTTGCGCGTGAGCTCGATAATGTTGGTGCACACGCCGTTCATGAATTCTTGCGAGTGCGAAATCAGCAGCAGAATCTTCTTCCACTTGGAGAGGTAGTCCTCGAGCCACACGACGGCCTCCATATCGAGATGGTTGGTCGGCTCATCGAGGAGGAGAAGCGTCGGCTGGATGAAGAGCGCACGGGCGAGTGCGATACGCATGCGCCACCCACCGGAAAACTCGCGCGTCTTCTTCTGCATCATCTGGTCCGAGAACGTAAGACCGCGGAGGATGTTGCGGGCGCGGATCTCGGCCGAGTCGGCGTCCATCTCGTCCAAGCGCTCGTACAAGTCGGTGAGGCGGTTCGTGATCTTCTCAGCCTGGTCGTCCGGGAGGCCCTCGTCAAGCATCTTTTCCGAGAGTTCGTCGACCTCGGTCTGGATCTTGGTACGCTCTTCGTCGACCGTGATGACGGCCTCGAGCGCCGTCATGTCGGACGGCTCAATCTCGTGCTTGAGGTGGTAGATATCGATCGAGTCGGGGATCGGGATGCCACGCGCGCCGAGCACGTTCATAAAGGTCGACTTGCCGGAGCCGTTGCGGCCGATGAGCGCGTATCGGCGGCCGTAGTTGAGCGAGATGTCGCAGCTCTCCATGAGCACCTTGCCAAAGTACGTGATCGAGAAGTCGAGCACGTTGATGTCCTTGAAGTTCTCATGCACCGAGCGGGCGTTCATGGCGCAGGTCGCGATGATGCCATCGTCCGCGAGCTTGTCGGCCAGCGTGCGCTCGGCGGGGACGAACTCGGCCTTCTCGTCCTTCTTGGCGGCCTTGCCGCCCTTGGAGGCGCCACGACGGCCACGGGTGTTCTTCGGGGGCATCTTGCTGCTGGGTAATGGAGAAGAAGCGAATCTGACGTAGGCTCGAAATCACTGGCCCGTGGATTCCCCCACACGCTCAGCGGCGTCATTTTATACCACGAAATGGGATTTACCTTGCTGTTTGTATACGTGGCCGAAATCCTGTAAAAAAAGAGACCGCGCCGCGGCCTCGACATGGCTTGGGATTTTGGGACAAACCCGCGAAAATAGACCATTGGATATCACCACTCGACCAATCGAAAGCGCCGACCAATCGGAACGCGCGAGCGCTGGGAGAGGTCGACGCCATGGTGACCAAGATGGCGCCACCATGTCTTGTGAGCGTAGGAGGACGAAGGACGAGGCTTGGTTCCTCGATACTTGGAGGCGAGTGAAGGAGGTAGAGCCTTGTGGTGCGTGTTGTGGTATTTGCGAGGGAAACGAGTGGACGTCAGCGAGCGTTGCGCTTGGAATGACGTGCGCGACAGGGACGTATCGGCTGTCGACCAAGAAGAATAAGATGGGAGCGGTGCCACGCTGCTGACTCGCTCTGTGCAGGGAGCCTTCCATAGGGACAAGCGCTGCACCAACGCGTCGACTTGGTCTCCGTGTCGAAGCACGACGACACAGGATTAGCCCGCAGAATTGGGTTAACGCTAGGGTGCACTTTTTCTCTCGTTGAAGGTGAAGCCAACTGCCGACAAGGACATCATCCAAACCATCGAACGATGCAGAACTTCCCAAGGATGAAGCGAGGAATCTGTACATCGGCTCCCACTCGTTCCTTCCATTGGATCTCGGTGGAGGTTGCATGCTGGCAGAGTGCATTCTCGTCCCAAGCGGCAAACTGGCCATCAAACTGCCTTCCTTTTAGAAGAGCCGCAGCGGAATCGAGTCATGTTGATACTCGTCCTCGTATCGTGACAATATCTTCCACATTATTACGGACATGTCCATTGGCCCCAAGCCAAGGTCCTATTTCCTTAGGGCTTTGTTCGGGCATCCTTAGCAAGCGATCTCAATCTCCTAAGGAACATAAGCGAGCCACAGTGCTTTACGTATGCTCCTTTCACTAGGGTTCTCACTCTGTTCTTAGGTTTTATCCGTGCTTTATGTGTATAAAAGCGTGTAAAATGTGTTTAACCTAGTGAAAAGAGGTGGAAATGGATTGACCTGAGCCTGGCGGCGTTGGAGAGAGGAACCGCGGGGAGGGATGTCAACCAGAAATGACGACGTCTACTCCACTGCAGTTCATTTCTCCACGGAGCATCCACACGGACATGGTCGTCTTCGTGGGACGTGCATCCGAGCTATTTGTATGCAGAGTGATTGTGCTGTCCAACGCTGGCTGCATTATTTTAGACTTTCACGCCTGCGCATGCAATATAATACATTGAACTACCCATATGTATGTACTTTAAACGATAGGGAGAAAGAATAAAATATCGTATTACAATTGTCTGCCGGCCACGACGCGTCAGTTTGCCGCAAGCACGAAATGAATCGCATCTTTGGGAAGAAGAAACCGGAGGCGCCGGCTGTCAACATTGCCGACGTGCATGGCCGCGTCGAGGGCCGCGTCGACAACCTCGACACCAAGGTACCTCCATGCGCAGCTCGGCCTCGCGTCATCTTGAGCGTTGCTAGATTGACAAGCTGGAGCAAGAGCTCAAAAAGTACAAGGAGCAGGTACGACGCGCGTCAAGCGCGATCGCTGCGTCACGCGCTGCGCCTAGATGACCAAGGCGCGAGGTCCGGCGCTCGCATCGATCAAGCAGCGCGCGCTCCAGACGCTCAAGCGCAAGAAGATGTACGAGCAGCAGCGCGACAGCCTCTCGGCGCAGTCGTTCAACATTGAGCAGGTACGACATTGCACGTGCTACGTCATCTGACGAGTTTCAGGCGACGTTTGCGATCGAGACGGCCAAGGACTCGCTCGATACGGTCTCGGCGATGAAGACGGCGACGGCGCAGCTCAAGGCCGAGCACAAGAAATTCAACTTTGAAGAGCTCGAGGTACGCATCGTCCTACCTGTAAGCACGCATGCGACTCGGTGTAGAATACGCAAGACGACATGGCTGACCTCCTCGAAGACATGAACGAGATCCAAGATATCTTGGGCCGGTCGTATGGGTACGTCGTTGTCCGCATCAACCGACCATCAAGCTCACATGCATTCACATAGCATTGGCCAAGACATTGACGAGTCGGAGCTTGAGGCGGAGCTCGAAGGCCTCGAAGACGAGTGGGCGATGGAAGAAGCGGCAGCGCCCGTCGACGCGACGCCGTCGTACCTCGCGCAGGATCTGCCCGCGGCGCCGACGACCGCGACGGACCGGAAGGAGCAACGCAACCCAATGGTCGACGAGTACGGTCTCCCGCTCGCCCCGATCGCAATGCACTAAGTGGGACCGCAATCACATATCTAACTATTACTCGTTCTGCGTCGTATGCAGCGAAAAAGTAGCTTTAGGATTAGTGTTAGAGCTTGATAAAGACGGCGCCAGTGCAGTAGATAGGGTAGCCCAAGGGTGGGTCCGCCGACTGCACGAGGAGGTTGCGAAGTAGCTGTGCATTGGACTGGATCTAATCAGCGCGATAAGGTTTCGAGAGACAATGGCTCGTCGCACCGAGAAGCGCTCGTCGTCGTCGTTGGTCATGTAGAGCAGCTCCAGGGCAAGGCCATGCCACGTGCCTTCGCACGCCGCACGGTTGAGTGCCACCAGCGTGGCGTCTTGCCTACGTCAACCACGGTTGGCCGGCCTCGAGATGTTCTGACTACGTACCGGCCAAGGGTATAGACATTCGACATGTACTGGCCATTGGCGTTCTTGGTGAGGGCAAAGAGGTTCGGTCGGTTCGTCGTGATGTAGTATTTCCACCTAAACCAAATCCAAGTATTTTCAAATGAGCGAAATCGCTGTCAGTGCTGTACGTGGCGGTGTGACGCGGCCCAATGTGCCACTTGGACTGGTAGTGTTGGATCGTGGCTTCGAGTTCGTCTGGCGTGTCGTACAGATCGGTGTCGCCTTGCGCAAACTTGTCGAGGCCCATTTTGACCTATTTATCCGAATTGATTTAGACCATTGGACATGCGATCAAAGCATGACGTACCGCAAGCCGGTACGCACGCACGACAACATCATATAAGGTTGTGTTCGCCTGGAGCCAGTCGTTCTCGAGGGACCGCGGAAAATGGCCCTGAAAGCAGTCGAAAATATGGCTCGGCCCGCGCTTTTCGTGGACCCCAAACCTACGAGATTCCATGAAACTTCGTGAGTTTCAAAGCCATAAACGGCAACCCAAGGGTTTCGACAATCGCAAAACATGACGCCGCGAGAAGGTGGAATTCCGTCACTTTGTTCCACCGGTCCTTGAGAAACGACGCTCGGACAGCGACGCCGGGGTTGACAAATGGCGTCGACGCTTCCTCGTGGCTCTCAATGTCACCCCACATGAAGGACCGACGCCCGTGCACAACCGTCGGTCGCTGCTTTGCCAGTGACTCGTAGTCGACACTGGCGGCTTCCGTGTCGTTGAGACCGTACGCGATTTCCAAACGCTCCTTCTGCGACGCCGTGCGCTCTTCGCGGGCTCTCACCGACGGTCGCGCTTTTGGCGCGGCCGAGACAGACGCTCGCACGGGCTTGAGGTGCGTCACGAGGCGTAAAATGGCGTCGGTGGCGAGCTTGAGCGACGACCGACGCGGCTCGCGCGATGGCGGCGTTGGCGTTGGCACCGGTATTTCCTCGGCCTACACCATCGTGTTGACGCCCGGACTCGAGGAATCTGTCTACCTTGAGAATATCGCGGGGGTTTTGAAAGTGTCGCTGTTTTTTGTTTTTGCTTTGCAAATAGTCCCAGTAGAGCGTCGGAAACTCCTTGAGCACGAAATCCAAGCCCGAGATCGAGACGGGAAACGAGAGCCAAATCTCAGGTACCGACCCGTGCGTCACGCGGTTGAGCTCCGAAACCAAAGTGACGTAAAAGGCCTCGTGGATGAGGTCGAGGCATTTCGGGTCGTCCAGAAAGTCCACGAGCGTCACGGTGGAAATGTTGTACATGCGAATCGGCGTCCGCAGTAGTGGCTACAATCGTTACCATCAAAAATGGTTGTGGAGCAATGTACGTACGGTAAACGTGCGGGGCGACGGCAGTCGGTGCGGTGCGTCGTCCTCGCTCGGGTTTGCTTCGTCAAAGGCGTCGGCAATGACATCGTCGAGCTAATAATACACGTGTCGTGTGTCGACTGTGAGAGGAGATGGTGTACCTTGGACGCTTCGAGATGGTGACAGCTCGTCGTCTCCTGGAGCTCCAATCCCTTAAAGCGCACGACGCAGTAGTCGGTGCTGAGCTCGAGCACCTCGAGAAGGCCGAGAAAATTGTCGACGCGAAGGAGGTATATGTCGTGGCCGCCTTGGTGCGACCGCTGGTGCAAGACCGACGCAGGAGCCAAGAGCGATGGCAGCTCGAGGGTGAGCGCATCGAAAAAGTGCTCATAGTAGCAAGCGTCCTCGCCGTCGTGCCACGTTTCGTATGTGCTCCAGAAGCGTCGGGGCCGCGGAAATCCCGCCTACAACATACAGGATCGTTTCAGATTCAGATTCAGATTCAGATTCAGATTCAGATTCAGAGCTCACGAGAAAGAGGGTCGAACCGCAGAAAGGAAAGAGGGGGGATACGAGGACGGTCGCGACCAACAACGAGGCCAACGAAATCGGCGTTGCCAGCATCGTGACAAGGATCCAGTAGTCGAAACGCTGTTTGGGCTCAAACACTGTACTGGAAATCACAACGCGCATGTATTGCAGGAGCTCGAGGCCATGCCAGAAGCGCGGCGGAACGAGCGCAGCCAAAAAGAGGGCGATGGCAAAGCTCAGATTCGCACAAAGCGCACCAAGACCCGCGAGCGCCATCTAGCACAATGCGATAGTACAACACCCTCATACAATAGGAGAATCTGTACAATGTAGGTTGCGCGGCACGGGTGGCGCTGGCAAATCGTGTACGCGTGCACCATGGCAATCGAGCTGTACGCGGCGGTGCACGGTGTCCATGCGCAGGTGGCCGACATGGCGTCTCGGGCAAAGAAACAGCCAAGCAGCAGCAACAACACCACGCGCAAGAGGCGGTCGAGAAGCCACCCAACGGCATTGAGAAGGCCGTCTGGGATGTAGCATGACCACCGACGAACTCGCGCCGACGTCGGAATCAAAACACGAAGTTGCACGACCACCCAGAGACCGAGTAAAAGCTCGAGCTATACGGTCGCCATTAGCATCATACACCACAAAGAGCAAGGACGTACGAGGTAGCTGCCGCATTGGTCCCGATCTGAGTCGGAGATACTCGCAAAACCGGCGCCGGCTCCCGCAGAGAGCGTCATGACAAAAGCATATCGCAGCGCTGAGAGCACGCGATCGCTGTCGAAGAGCGTATATCGCCAGAGCTCGGGAACGTCGCCCATCGAGCCCTTCAAGTCGGCTTCGGAGACCATGGTTCGCTCATGGTCGGGCGAGAATGGCACGACTTTGGTCGACGTTGTCATGAGAATCTCTCGCGTTAGCGTCTCATTCCACGAGCGTATACGACTCGAGGCAAGCCACCGCCCGAGCGCCGCCGCCAGCCCCAGCGAGACAGGTAGGGGCGCCGAGGTGCTTGCTGCGATAAGCCCGGTTGCCACGGCGTAGGCGACGGCGTACATGAGCAGTAGAAATGCGTCTTCGCACGGCACATGACCGAATCCAATGCCAAGCGCCTGCTCCACGAGGTACTCAAAGAGCGCTGTCGTCGGCGGAAGTACGCCAAAGTTCAAGAGTACCGGTGTCGCGAAGAGACAGTAGCGCACGACTAAGCGAGCCGTGAGAGCAGACGGCACCACCGTCTTGAAGATCCAGTCGAGCCCCGCAAGCCCCGTGACGTAGACCGCGCGCTGGACGTCGTCGAGTGCGGTGGGCGCACCGACGCGCCACGTATTGACGTCGACGGGGCTCCTCGCGCTCATCGGATATTGCGCCGTGGCGTAGACGGTCCAACCCAAGACGTTTTCGACAATGTCGCAGTTGGCGTAGGTGCTGGCGTAGGCACCAAGATCACGGTCCGAGAGGAGCTGCATGACGAGGCCGGCCATGCAAAAGGTGAGCGAGAGGCCAATCGTCTCGTCGAGGAGCCGCTTGGGCGGGAAAAGCATATCGAGGAGCAGCGACGAGAAGAGCTTGTTGGTCACGTGCGTGTCGGTGTCGTCGATGCTCTTGCGCGTTCCGCGCCGCGGCGCCAAGTGGTTGCGTCGTAGCAGAAACACGATGCTTTGCAAGACAACGACAAGGGCGACGACCGAGAAGCCAAAGACGACCGCCTTGACGTGCAGCTCGAAGTCCACGACACTGAGGCCGGCGCCAAGGCCCGGTGGCACGAGGAACACGGCCACCTGGAGCACGTTGACTTTGATGTGCGCGCTGAGCGCACGTCGGATGTACACACCGCCGAGCCACGATTGCAGCCAGCGCGAGAGGACAAAGTGGAGCTAAGGATAATGCGTCCATACATGCAATACTGTCGATAGAAAGCTCGCACCTTGTCGTCCGTAATGAACGGAGCGACGTCCTCCGGGCGCCCGTACGAGAAGAGCCCGCTGAGCATGAAACTATGGTCAGCGGCGCCAAAACCGATCTCAAAATAGACGTTTATAAGATGCGTGTAAAAGTAGGCGCTCTATATAGCACTTTCTCGTTGCCGTTCATACATGTGTACAAGTACTGTACTACGGTGATTGTTTGCTGTACCGAAAGGCGCATACGCGTTCATCAAGGCGCGAGAAGCACACGTCGCTTGCATCACCGCTTCTTCTGGGCGTCATTTTGTGCACACAGCGAGCGCATCGCAGGATAAGTTGAGTTGTTGCTCTCGTGTCCGCCCTTGGAGGCTTGACGCGGCGTTGGTCTGCGTGTGATGCGTCGAGCGTGTTTTTGTTCACCCATCAAATATCCAGTGACAGGCTCGAAGAGTTCATTGCTTTTGTGTATTGCGACAGCTCTTAGCACCGAGTCGGTCATGCATGGCACAGCGGTCGGTCGTTTCCGAACCGGCCTTGCTAACGTTTTGTTAATCTTAGCTCTCGGGGGCCCTTTCCGCCGAGATGTAGCGGCGTCGTTCACGAGATGCTCGAACGCCAACATCTTTGCCGAGATGAGCTTTGCAGGAGGCTACAACGCCAACTTCATTTCCACTTTGGAAGCCGACGACCAACATCAAGATGGTCGTGGTGAAGCATTCGCTGCTTTTTGCGGGGTTTCTTGTCGCCTTGGCCGTGGGGCAAACCACTGGACCAGCACTGTCGACCTTTGCTCCGAGCTCGACAACCTCTGGCCC